GCTGAGAGACTTGGCTGATTAATTGAGATGCAGACGGAACAACCTGCACCTCCCCAAGTCTCAATGCACACACAGCCGTGGCGATCTGCCCTCGTGAAATTATCAAGAAGAAAGGCGGCCGGTTGGCTGCCATCACCCGTTGACGCCACCGCTTGCCACTGCCCACCCGCGCCACTCGCCGAGCGCCTTGCTGGCGCGCCGCCTCATCTCAACACCCCCCCCCCCCAGGGAGCGCCTCGGGCGCATGGAGAAGGAAGCGGCGCAGCGGGCAGTGGCCAACGCTGCAAAGAAGAAGAAGGCAGAGGAGCGCATATCCAGTGAGCAGCGGCCCATCAACCCCCCTCCCCCCCACACACACACCTCTCTACACACCCCCTGCCTGAGAGGCCTGCCAGAGCATTGGGTCTGGTGGTCCTGGGACGTTTATGTCTGAGACAACCCGATGCAGTTCCTGCATGGACCTGCCCCCGGCACTCCTGGTCCTGCGGACGTAGCCATTACACCGCTTCTCCAACTAGATTCCAACAGCTCCGACCGCCCTCGACTGCTCTTGACCGCTCTGACCGCCCCGCCGCCACCGCCGCGCCGCCGTCCCCCAGACGCCCTGTCCCAGAACGAGGCCATCCTGCATCAGAAGCGCCAGGACTTTGAGGAGCGGGAGGCGGCCAGCGAGGTGCGTGCACGCCCCCGCCCGCACGGGGATGGGGGAAAAGGCCGCTCAACGCCGGGGGCCCTTCCTGGGCGCTCGCCTGCGCCCCTGCGCCCTGGCTGCGCGCAAGGCTCGGCCTGGCCACAAAGGGTCCCCGTTAGGGCTTTGTGCCTCGCATCGCGACGTGCCGCCCTGCTTGATCGGCTGTTTTGGGCGCACCTGCTGCTAGGCTGGCTCGGCCCCGCGCTGTATTGCTGCCCGCGGCGTGTTGACTTTTGGAGGCCCGAGCCCCGGGCCTCCACAGAGACAACCCCCCACCCTCTCGCCCCCTGGCCTGGCCCCTGCCGTCCCCTCAAACCCACGGATGCACACACGCATGCGCGCGCGCACACACACACACACACACACACACACACAAAAAAAACGCACATGTGCACATGCACGCACGCACGCACGCACGCACGCACACATACACACGCACACCGCTGGGAACCTGCCTTTGCACACCCTCGTGACACACCCCAATGCCCTGCCCCCCCACCCAGGTGCGGCGGCGTGAGATGGAGGAGGAGCGCCGCGCCGCGGACGAGCGCAAGCGCGCTGAGGAGGAGCGGCAGCAGGCGGAGCGGCGGGGCAAGTACGAGCTCAGCCTGCAGCGGGAGGAGGAGCGCAAGCAGGTGGATGGCGTGGTGTCAGGGGAGACGGGGTGGCGGTGGCAAGCGCGCCCGGGCGGTTGGGGATGCGAGCGCACGCGTGGGGGGTCTGCAATTGAGGACCTGCGGCAATTGCGCATTGGTGGAAGACCCTCCTCTGTGCGCCTCTACCAGACCTGACCCTTCCCGCCCGCTCAGCGTCGCTCTTGCCCTGCCGCCCGCCGCCGGTTGGCGGGAGCGTTGGTGCGATCAAGTGTGTAGAACAGACACGGCTGACAACGCATGCGATCCGCCCGCCCCGCCCTGCAACGCACGTGCCCCGCGTTTGGCAGGACATCAAGGGCCGCGCGGCACGCAAGCAGCAGCTGCTGGACGAGGCTGACTCAGCGCGCAGCTCTGCCAACAGCCAGCGGCGCGTGGAGCGCGAGCTGTTCAACGGGCTGCGGCGCGACAAGGTGGACTCCATACAGAAGATGCAGGTGGGCGGGCGTGGGGGCGTGAGCATGTGTAAAATGTCATTGTGTGTGTGAGTGTGTGTGCGTGTGTAGGTGGTGTGTGTGTGTGTGTGCGCGTGCGCGCGCGCGCATGCAAGGGGCCAGGGGCCCGGGGCAAGGGACGGAGGGGAGTGTGGCAAGGCGAGGGTTGAGGGAACCAGGCTTCGTAGGGGCAGCAGCCCTGAGCGGCGTGGGGCTCGTCCCTGCGTTTGCCAGAGCCTGCATCAATGCGCCGCGGTGCGCGCACGTTTGTGTTTGGGTGTGTACTTTGCGCTTCGCGGTGCCTGGGCGCCAAGAAATGGCCGCCGTCCTTGGCCACGGCTCTTGGTGCCTCTTCGTCAAATCAATCCAGTGAGATCAGCCTGCAACCACGGATATTAATTTGAATGAGCTGGGTTCTGCTACAGAGCCCAAGGCCACCCTCACCACACCGCACCCCCCGGCCCCGCCCCCAATCCCTTCGTACGCCAGGCGTACCAGCGGCAGCTGCTGCTGGAGCGCATCATGGAGGAGAATGAGAAGACGGCGCGCATGCTGGAGCAGCGGCAGGCCATCCAGGAGCAGCGCAAGTCCGCCAACATGAACGCCAGCATGCACCGCAACAAGGCGCGCGGGAGATGGGGGGGGGATGCAGCGCATTGTGCGTGCAAGTGTGTGTGCGTGTTTTGTGTGTGTGTGTATGTGTGTTTTTGTGTGTGTGTGTGTGTGTTTTTGTGTGTGTGTGTGTATGTGTGTGTTTTGTGTGTGTTGTGTGCGTGTAAGTGTGTGTGTGTGTATGTGTGTGCGAGCGCATGTGAGAGCGCACATGCGTGGCTGTTTGTTCATGTGATGGTATTTTGCGTGTGTGCTTGCCTGCCGCGCGGCCAAGATGGCGACCCTCAATCCCTTCATCACCTTGTTGCAGCTTCCTATCCAATCCCTCCCAGGTGACCTCTGGCCGCGTCCCGCCCCTTCCTCCTGCCCCATATTTCTCCACCCTTGCCTCCCCAACCGTTGACCCCTCAGCCCCCAACGCCCCGACCCGACCCCCCACAGGTGGCCCAGCTGATGGAGTCGATGCGTAGCATCAAGAACATCGAGAAGATGGCCCCCAACGGCCGCATTGATTCGGCCATGGTCGCCAGCCAGCTCGCAAACCTCTGAGGCCGCCAGCTTCCGTCAGGCAAGCAGCTTCAGCGGCGGCGGATGCGGCGCACGCTGCTTCGGGGAATGGCACGGACCGGCGGCGGCAGGCGGGTGCGTCCGGCGGGGCGAGCGTGGCCAGCGGGCGTCGCCGGCGGGTGCGCAGCGATCCGGCGGCGGCTGGGGCGAGGAGATTTGAGCCGCCGTGTTTGGTGGCCAAGAGGAGGGGATCGACGCAGCAGCATGCAGGAAGCTGGGCAGCACGGGCCGCCCTGTCTGGACTGCTGAGGTTTCGGGGTTCCCACTGACAGCTTTGGGTTTTGGGGGGTTTGACCGGGTTGACCTGGGGGAGGGGGGTGGCGGCTGCACGCCTGCAGCAGCCCATTTTTTGCTGCCCGCCGATGCTGTGTCGGGGTTGCCGGCCCCATCTGTCGCGGCGGCCGCGGCAGGCGCCTGCTGCGCCCGTCGCTCTGAATTGCTTTTTCCAACGTAGCCGTGCCGTGAGCGTGCTGCTGGCTGTAACATACGGGCGCATGACGCATTTCAAGCGGCGGCGGATGGGGGGAGGCTGAGATTTGGCGCCGGTGGCGGGGCGCGCGGGGGCCGGCGGGGGGCGCGAATGG